AATAGGAGACGGAAAGGGGAGAAGATTTGTAGGGAGTGTCTTCTAACGTAACAGATAATAAAGAAATCTTATTTTACTGTGTTTAAATTTTACAGAGGCTGGCGAGATACGTGACGTAGGAAAGAAAGAACAGAAATCCGAATAATTTATATAATTTAACCCTTCTTTCTCGTTCCGTTCTTAATATAAAGAAAGTATATCGAAGAATCATCGTCGATCTCGCGAAAATAAACAATTCCCTTTCCCCTCGAACGAATGATTAATATTGGAAAAATTGATGGTGAGATTTCACATTGATTGTCATACGATCGTCTCTCTCGAGTTTAAGATCTCTCTTAATCTCCTCCTGTTCTCTCTAGAAAACAAAAAAGAGATATCGATTTTCCACGGATATCGTTCACTGCCCATAACGAATCGAGCGGATTTCGGATTAACACAAAATAATCCAAATCACCGAATCGCGAAAGCAGACCTCGGCAGAGGATCCGACGCACGATCTAATTTTAATTCCAGCCCGCTCCATTATTCATTTGCCATAGTTCGATTAATTAATTATTATTATCCCCGATGAACGTCCCGCTCGATAAATCGTTATTCCACCGCGACACCCGGCGACCGACGAAACCGATGATCCACCGAATCGCCGTGGCGATTAACGAAATCTTTCCCCCCCCCCCCTCCCCCCCTCCCCCCCCCTTTTTTTCGTCCAGCGATAACGGGAACGATCGAGGCGAGATACGATAACGCGATAAACCGCGCGTTAATGCGGGATTTAACGCGGAAATAATGCGAGACGTAAATGCGAGCCAGGAGGGATTTTCGCGCGTAAAACATTTCGGGTTTTGTTCGAGGCTCGTCCAAGCTTTGAAACGGGTTGAAAACGCTTTCGAAAACCGTGACCCCGTTTCGCCTCTACTACTCCCACCCTCTTTCGAGGGGTCGATTCGAGCGGATCGAGAACGTGGCTGGATGAATATCGATGCGGCCGAAGTTCGAATTCTGGAGGGGGGGGGAAGATCGGGGAGAAGTATGGAACGCATAGCGAGCGAGATTTTTCATTCGTGCGAAGGAAAGAATCGCGGGAAAGTGAATTTTCCGATTTTTATTTTCTTTTTTTTTTTTTCGATCGATTTTTATCACGCAAAGAATTTATCGCGAAGAACTATCGATTAAATCAGATTAAAAGTGGTATGCATCGATATATATATATATACGTGTATTTTATTGAAAAATCGAGAGATTTCTCATCGATTGGTTGAAAAAAAGAAAGGGTAATTATTAAAAGATATTCTTCCGTGTTCGTAACGGGGAAAGGTATTTTATTTCACGGCGAGAAAGACGAGGAAGAACACGACGCGTTGTCACTTTCAGAGAGAATTCGTGTAATAAAGGCTGCCACAAACTTTCCGCGCATTTAGGATTAGCCGTGACAGCCTCAAATTAAGCGGTCACGTCTCTCATAAGAAGAATTTCACGTGAAATTTTCTCTTTTCCTTTTTTTCTTTTCTTTTAAATACGACACGATCACGAGTCTTTATTTATTATAAAATTCTACATTCGAAGAAAGATATACGTTATTCAAGAAATTTCAAACAAAGAAAAGAAAGCGGATAATATTCGAGTTAATATGGGTAGAGAAAAAAATAAATTAAAAGTGTGCTGGAGGAGGGGGGGAAAGAAGGTTTCATAAAAATCTGTCCCTACACGAAACGAGTTCGACTCGACTTTCTTCCTTAGAAAGGAAAACTTTTACATCTATACGATAATAAGAAGGCTTTTGGTCAGCTTTCGAAAAGTGGAAAGGTGGAAACCTCGAAGGACTTGCTTGCAAAGTTTAAGAAAAACGGAACGGAAGGGAAAAGAGTAGAGGAAGAAAGGAGGAGGTAGCTTTTTCGAGAAACGGTTTTAAGTTTGGATCTACTAATAAATGAGTTGCACCGTTTAATAAGAAGCGGAAGGGGCCCTTTAAATTTTCTTCTTTTTCGTCACGTTTCCTCGCGTTTAATCAAATCCAAATCGAATCGAAATTGAATCATCACCAAAAGAAGTTTCTTTTAAGGAGAAACGATTATTTTTAGAGAGAAAAAGTATATAAATTTTTATATACGCGGATACGTTGGAAAGTTTGAGTTAAAGATTTTGGTCCGGCAAGTATCTACGGAGGAAGATCTACGGAGGAAGTTTAGGTTACTCTCGAAGAATAATAAGCGACTGTGTAGGCAATATCGAAGTCTTCCGAGTCCTGAAGGACTGCGCGAAAACTTTTCCCGATCTTGTCCATTTTCGAACCGCAAGGGAGGAATGCAGAGGGCAAAGCTTTAAAGGAGAAAGGCGCTTTGAAAGTACGAAAATGAAATAAAAAAGGGGAAAGTCGCAAAGAACTCGGGAGAGAGTTATATTAAAAAAGTGTGTGATACAACAACCTGCTTATTTCAACCGTAAAATATATTTTTCTCTTCTTTCTTTCTTTTTTTCGTTTCGAACGAATATCCGGATATCTCCATTTGACGAGCCATTCTCAATTACTCGAAAAATAACCCAAGAAGAATATATATTCCCGTTTCAAAACACGTAGTTTAGTTTAGTCAAGTTGGAAACCGCCTCGTTCGAGATCGATCGAGCTGCGTTTCCTTTTGAAACGCGATTGCATCAACGGGATAATAAACACGACTCTTGGAGTCTGAAAACTGGTAGGACTTGGACTCGGGGAGTTTAAGCGCCGAGAGAAACCTCGTCAACCTCCACTATTCCTCCGCGTAATGTATCGATTAAACGAGGGGAAAAATTATTTCAAATTATTTTCGTACGATTAATTAATCGCTCGATCGAACGTAAAATTTTCGCTTCGCTCTCTCCACTCGATACAATCGTATTTTATCCCATTTTAAAATGCCAAGCTATTTTTTCCCCCCCTTTGTCCGCGGGAAATCGAACCGTTGCGATCGCTTCCATCGTAAACAACGGCTCGATTACCTCTTCTCGTCAATTCGAAAAAATGATCTTGCGCGTGAATGAGCTGCGGAGGGAATTTTTGGGGAGAAAAGAAAACGGAAGAAAAGGATACTTCGACCGACCTCGAGTACGAGGTTCGGATGGAAAAGTATATCTGGAAAGAAACATGGAAAGAGAGGATCATAGATCATACACGCGTTCTTGTTAATTGCTCGAGAGGAGGAGAGACTTTTGACGGTCGGACGCTAATCCAGTTTCGCTCGAATTTAAAATGAACACGGATATTAGAACTGCATCGAGGTAATTACGTAAATTTTCCAAGGTGATTTCCAAGGCTTAGAGAGAGAGAGAGAGAGAGAGAGGATCCAGGTGGAAAGTTTGTGCACAATTGAGAAGGTCGATTACGTCGGTCGGATAATAAGCAAGTCCGTAAACCGATGTCGGGGACGAAAGCTGGAAATCCCCCGATAAAGTTTGGGAGAAGTTGGAGAGAGGGCTACCCGGTTATATTTCGGATGGAAAAGTAGACGGCGTAAAGGAGTAACCGGATGCAAATTGGATTACGCGGGGCGAAATAAATGCGTCGAACGAAGGGGAGAAATTTACTCACGGCGTGTATTACTCGTCCTCGACCTTTACTACTAGAAATTACCCGTTTCGCGCGGGGAGGCTCGCAAAAGAATTTGCAATCAGCGCGCATCTCGTCGAACGAATGAAAATTCAGATCGTGTAAACAGAATTTCGTCCCCGCGTTATTCGTTGTGCTCAGACAAAAATCTCCTGTTTTTTTTTTTCGTTTTTTTATCTTGATTGAACAAAGGCTAGTATTTTCATCCGAAATATTCGAAATCGATCCCGAACGAACGAACGAACGAAGACGAATAAAACTTTTTTTTAATCGAGAAGAAGGAATCGAAAATTTCTCGCTGATATTTGGACGGAAACGTAATATACGAGAAGTTTGGAGGATAATTTGCCGGGGCGCAAGTTACGAAATTCGTAGCACTCTCTTTCCGATCGACCCTCGGATCGATTCACCCTTGGCGCGTTTCTCATTTCCGGGCCGCTCGCTTTTCAACTTGTCCCCGCGTAATTATGAAACGTAGGATGCACGTGCAATTCGTCACCAATCCCGTCCAATCCCCGCGGTCACAATTTCGAAAACAATCGTGCCATCCGCCCGAATATTCCAACACCAGTCATCCCCTGCTCCTTCTAATTAGATCCTTCCAGGATCGCGATCGAATCGACGAGGCGCGATGAGAGATCGAGAGATTTCGAAAGATTTGCGGAAACGAATGAAGAAAGAAGAAGAAAGAAGTGGGGGTGTTATCGTTGCGAATTGGACGGAATGCGAGCACAATTGGAGAAAAGAAATGGGAAATAAGGTTGATAAGCCGGAGGCGTTGAGGGGATATTGGTGTTTCCCTCTCAGGGTATGAGATGCTCGTTTACATTGACGTGGTAATAAGCTCGAATACACCTTCCCGAGATCCCGAAAGGAACGTTATTGGAGAGTTTCTCGTGGAAACCTCGCTTATTTCGAGTGGAAGAGGAGGAATAAAAATGGAAAGGACGCTCTTGAAATTTTCGCTCGACTAAAGAATCGACTAGGAAATAATAAATTCACGCCAAGAGATAGGATAAAAAAATATTCGATGCTACTCCCTGTGTTTAATAGCCCTCGAATTACACGTTTCATATATATATAAATCCTCCTCCTCGGTGAAAACAAAGGACAGCGATGCGTCATGGAGAATAATGCGTTAATAATACGATAGGAAAGGCTGCAATGCGTATATCGTAGATGTCGAAAAGCTGGAGAAAATTGCGTGGGGGCGATAACTCGCAAAATATAAACGAGGAAAGGACAATCTCGGATGACTCGTTCGTCCTGCGTAGCGAGGAAATCTCGAATCGAATAGAAGAGAGAATGGAAAGAGACGCGGAGGGAAGGGAAGGTTTCCTCGAGTAGGACGCGCGCCTAGCAAAAGGAGGGGATGAGAGTGGAGAAAAGTTAGAGAGAGAGAGAGAGAGAGAGGACTCACCCTTGCCAGTGCCACGGCTGGAAAGCTGTCCCACGCGAGTTGCGCTTCCTCGCCCGTGTTTCCATGACGTTGACCCGAGAGGATCCTCGCTGCCGTGAGGGTGCTCATCCCCATTCCGTCGCCGACGAAGAGAACGACGCCCCTCGCCACGCCGCCCGGCGGTGGCGCGCTCCAAGTCGCCGCCGACGCGCGAATACGCCCTTCGATCGCGCGTGTCGCACCCTCGTACCATGCCACCCTCTCTGCGAACACAAATTTTTTTTTCTCGCTTCAGCTCACCTCTATCCATCCCGTCTTAATCCTTCTCGGCGTTCGAGGAAAACTCAACTTCGGCCAGGTGGAAAGATCCCTTTCGAGAACGGTAAAACGAAAACAAGTTTGATTCCTCGATCGATAATTTTTTGATCGATCTTATTGGATTCGCCGTAAAGAGAGAATAAATCGTATTCTCGGAGCAATTTTCCTCGGTTTTCGGAGGATTCCTCGTTCGAGTGTCGGCGAAGGGATATCTTAATTGAATCTGTTAGCGAGACGGACTTGGAGAATAGAAGTGCCAAAATCGAATAGAGCTTCCAAATACGTAGAGAGAACGACGATAAGTCGGGAAAGGAAGGAAACGTTTCGCGCGATACGACGAATCGACGATCGAGATTTAGGAATAGGGAGAAGTTGGGCTCGATAGGGTAAGTTGGCCGAATCCGTATCCGCGATGATCTCGTCGCACGGGGTGGGCGAGATATCGCCGGAAGCGTGTTAAGCTGAACGACCGTTTCCTACGGACAGAGGGTGCTCCAAGATCCCGTCGTTACGATTTGAAACGCGGTTGCCGAGTAGTAGCCGCTAATGGGCAAGTTCGAACCCATATCGTGCCGTATCGCCGAACCCGCGTTTCCATAAAACCAACGTCCGATATACGAGTCGTGATTAAGTTGAATCCGTGCCTTCCCCTCGGAGAAACTGCGCCGAGTGAAGAAAAAAATGTCACGTTTCGTTCGATCATCGTTTTCCCGTTTTTTTTACAACCGTCTTTCTTGTATCGTTAAGCTCTTGACACGTTGACATATTCGGGTTATTTGACTATTTGTGAACGATCTTTTGTGTAGGTATTTGGAAAGATATTCTGTAATAAAACTATCAGATTGTTATAAAAATAATAAAAAAATTATTTTGAATGTAAAATTTTAAAACATCCTATACAAAGCTGAGGTTGATCAATTGAGGACAATTTGGGACAAAAAGTTGTTGCCTTTTTTAAATTCCTTCGATCCGTTTGTCGCCTTTTATCCGAATAATATAATTTGCATACAGTCTAATGCTTATATCAGAATTATTTTTCCGAACGGCGATATTATGTTCACTCCGTTGAAAGGTTTTTGACGAGGTTTTGTTTTCGGATAATCCTAACAATTTCGCAGCTAATAATTCTCTAAATCTTCTAATTTTGAGGTATCACGAGTCTCATGGTGATGCGAGTATAGATTTATGAATATATCGTGCTCTGACCATCGATTACTTGACATTGTGAGAAACAATATCTGATAGACAAGCCACACGAATAATTTATATACAATTCACAACTAAGAAGTATATTTATTACTAGTCGAAGGGCATTCGTATTATCCAAATTAAAATATCCAAAATATATTAAATCATACTACTATTCGATACTGTTGTCAATACAATTACTATTATCAATACTTTTATTGCAGACACGAATATAGTAACGATGGAAACAAATGATGCGTCATTCTTGCGACTAAAATATCGGTAGAATTTATGAAGTACACTTGATACAGCGCCTGAAGGAGATTTCGTTAGAAACACGCGCGACAGTGTTAAAGGGAAGGATGGAAACGAGCAATAATTACGAAGAGCGGTCGAAATCAGACAATTGTCGATGCATGGATCATATGTGCGTGAATTTTGATAAACACGTTCGGAGCGGATAATTAATACAAATTTAATAGACGGTTAAAACGAATGAAATTTCACGTAACGAAGTTTAATTTCTATTTCGGTGGGAGCGCAAATAGAATCTCGAGCGTCGTTGGAGATATGAATTTTGTAAATCTACGGATCTCGCGTACAGTTAAAACGACAAAACCGTCCCACCCCCACCACCTCGTTTCGATTAATCCGAAACAAAATTTACGTTCCACGTACCGTACCATTTTCCCGTCAAAACGTTCAACCTGTTCTTAATTATCCTTCTTCCTCCTTTTAACCCTTTTTCTCCCACGTAATCTGCAACGAGCGGTCGATCAATTTCCCTCGGATCGAAACAACGAATCGAGACGCGTCGTTGAATTTATAACAATCGAGAGCGGGTAAAAACACTGGTGGAACGCGCGATCGATCATCGCCGTGTCGAAATACGAAATACAATATTCTCGCTTTTCCGGCGGGTAAAAGTTGGAGAGAGAGAGAGAGAGAGAGAATATTTTGAATATTTTAACCGCGTTCGTTCGCGATTCCGGCCGTCGTTAAACCCGTGAGGCGTGAAAATTTGATCCCCCCCTCTTTTCGGAGGAGATTTACGAGCCGGCCAGGAATTTATTTCGCTGCAACTTGCCCGATATTTGCGAGAGCGGACCGATCGAAATCTTCTGTTTGCACGAATCGTTTCGAGGTAAATAAATAAATACACGTGTCGATAATTCGAGCATAGATTCGGTATAATTGAAATTTAATTAGCAGCGTGTCTGATCTACAGCTACGGTGGTTTATCGGATGGTACGAAACATATACGGGTATCATAACGTGGATTCAATCCGATATAAAATTTCAATTGTAACAAAAGTTGGCGAGATTTCTCGAGAGAGAGAGAACGAGAACGATTCTGTTTTTAGATTAAAAAATTGCGAGCGGTTGATTTATGGTCGAAGGGATGGATCGCGTGATACAGGTCCGTCTGTGGTCGGACACGTCTGCGTTCCATGCAACGGGCATTGCGATCGTTCGATACTCGAATCGATGTCGTTTCGAGAATCGTTTCGTCGAGGTTTTTGGAACGATTTTGAAAAAAAAATATTGAGAAACCGAGTCGTGAAATCCTCTTCTGATCCGCGACGAAAAAGTTAAATTAGTGGATCGAACTGTGCACGCAACGAATATTTTCTTGGCAGAAGGTGGGAATAAAATGGCGAAAAGTTGGATAGACTTCTGGTGAATTTCGCGAGTAAGATAACCGCAAAAGCGTAATAGTGGGAAGCTCGGAATATTAATAACGCGACTTGTAATATCGATAAGAAGCTATCGAAGAACGAAAGAAAGATGAAAGGAAAGAGAGAGTTCAGAACTTTGGGTAACTTTGAGAGAAAGTTCTACGATACTTATCCCGAGGAAAAGAGCTCGTAAAAGGAAGGGATAAATGGTTTTAACGGAACGATCCCGAGAGTTGACACGCTTTTGAAATAAGGACGAAAGGAGAAATAAATTTTTCTCAAAAAAGCGAGAAAGATCGAGGAACGAAATCTTAACCGCATCCCTCCTTTCCCGATATTCCAAATATAACGTTCTAAAAATCCTTTCCTTTCGAAACTTAAAAAAAATCGAAAAATTTCCTTCCTCTCTAAGAATTTCTTAATCGCGCCGAGGCTGCACTTTTTCGCGTTCCTCCTCCAAACGCTGCAGAATTCCCAACATTTCAACTTCGACGCTTCGAAGTCAATGTCGACCAATTTTTACGCCAACGATCACGCGTGGCGAAAGTAGAAAGCGCTTAATCCAATATCCTCTTCCTAACGTGTACCTTTTTTTGGTCCCGTTGGAAATTAAACGTGCCGCTTTAAATCTCGCCGTAAATCTCGTTGGCCGCCGAGCGGGAGAAGAGAAAAACTTACACAAGGAAAGCGCGGAGGAGGGAAAGAAAAGGAAGAAAGAAATGTTGGAGGAGCAGCAACAACAACAACGTTATCCTCCTATCCTCAACGTTCCACGAAAGGAAGGACAACAATTTCCGTATCTCCTCCTCCAGGAAATTTTTCCTGCCGAGATTAACGAGGAAGAAATCCACTTTGCGGTTGATCGCGCCAAGATCCACGACCGGCTCCCGTAATTCACGCCCCAAGTTATTATTACAGCGTTGTCGCAAGGCAAGCAGGTTTCCACGGTTGAGAGTAGTTTATGATCGCGCACAGTCGGCGCACGGTCGTGTATTCTTGTCGATGCTTACCCCCGCAGATGTGTAACCTACTTCCTTTGACGGGGGAACCGGATGCGAATATCGTTATCGATTCGCGACGCGGACGGCCTTCTTTCGCCGCCACCTTTTCTCCTACCACCCCGTAGTAGCTAGCTAGCTACCTGCAATTTTAATTACGCCACCGATCTCTCGCTTCGAGCGAGATCTTTTCTATATCCCCCTTTCTATTTTTTCTTCCTCTTTCCCCTTTTTTCTTTCCTTTAAAGCGAAATACGATTCGGAAATTAATGAAAAGGGAATGGGTTGGAGGGAAGGAAGATAATGGCAAGTTTGATATCGAATTTCAAATTTCGAGTAGAAATTGGAATTGCGATAGGGATTGGAATTTCTTCTTAGTATCCTTCTTTTCTTGTGTCTAATTTCGCAAGAAACGTTTCTCGCGCTAATGGTCTCGTCAAGGATTCTGTCTCCGGTGGAAGATAATTGGCAAAGGCCTCAAATAATCCCGTCTTTTGAGTTTCCCGCCGGTGAACACACGCTAATTAGTTAAACACTTTGCCGGTCATAATTAATACGGTCCTAATGAATATTCGCCAACGGGATCAAGTTGCCCCCAACTCGCTCCGCCAAGTTTGCCCCGACACGAACCTGTTTCATTCCTAAGGGATTCCCTTGGTAAAACTTTGGCCGCCTCTCGCGGAATAGGCTGTGAAACGAGAATGGCCGGCAACTTGGTTTCGTTGCGCGCGCGAGAGAGAGAGAGAGAGAGAGATCCCTCTCGAGATCGATAGAAAACAATAATGCTCGAATAAGAGGATAAATCTGTACACGAGTCAAATTTTTCTCTCTGGCGCCGCGCATCGTGGGATCGATCGGAAAGAGGACAACGGTGGGAATAAAATTTCTCGACCACGTAAAATATCCACAACAACGGCGAGAAGAATCGACCGATCCGATATATTTTACCCGCTTTTCTATTTATTCTGTCGCGCGCGTTTTGCCTGGGATAAATCGTATTGGACGAGTCGTTGGGAAAAAAGAGAGAAAAGAGAGAGAGAGAGAGAGAGAAAAGGATTTATTTATAGGCCGCGATACCGT